GAGCACTGCAGCCGCCGCGATATCGGAGGCGTCGGTATGTAAAAAAAATTGCTCATCAAAGTCAGGATGCACGAGAGTGGGAGGTCTAATTATCGCCTCCTTTAATTTCTCAAAACTCCGTTGACATTTCTCATCCCATGAAAACCTCNTACAGGACCCCCCAGTTCCACTGTGCCAACCACAGTTTGGTTTGATTTGACTTGTGGAGTATAGTCCAGATTTAGCCCCCTCAGATTTTCATTTATTCAGAGCTTTAAAGAAATGTTTGGGGGATTTGCTTTATGGATCAGGAGGAATTGGAAGACATCATTTTGGACTACTTCAAGGAACTTTACAAGCAACAGTACTGTGAAGGGATGTTTAAACTAGTTCCACGCTGAAATAAATGTCTTAACGTTTACAGTGATTATGTCAAGAAATAAACAATGTATGTAGTTTTTGTGGAATATATTAAATAATTTCTTTAATTATAAATGTTAGTGTAATTTTGGCCTGTACCTTTAATATCAGACTCCCCTTCGAACAAAAATTAACAAAACATTCTGATCACAAGTGCAATGAGATTGAAATTCCTGTGCACTCTGGGTAAATGGCTTCTAGTCTCCATTTGTCAGTAGTAGTGCTGTTTGTTTGAATGCAATTATGCAGTTTAGTGGATTTTATTTCAACAAAGCTTTCTATCAGTGATAACAGTTTCATTAACCCCTAACGCCCAGTCCCTTAATTAAAAATCAACTTTATTTTCTGCTTATTTGTTATCTTAACTAAACTTGTTTTCTTACCATTAAAAAAAAAAACATCTGTAATTATATGATAATTTACATTTTTGCTTATGTTATAGTTGCCTCTTTCATTTCATATTAATTTCTTTATTATTGGTAATAACTTAATAAACATTTTCGTTTATTTTATTTAGAATTGTGTTGATAAGTAAATTGTTTCATAGCACTTTAATATTAATTTGCAGAAGACAGCTAGACTAACTGAATTATGCTGCAACAAGGTATTAATTTCTACTGTAAGAAATAATAGAAAAGCTCATTCTTATTTACAAGGTTTTGATTTATAAGAAGTTTTCATGAATAAAGTATGCTTGTAAATCAAGATCACACTGTATTAAGATAATTAAAAGATGAAGATAAATAAATATAAATAATATTAGTGTCCCTTAGCCAGAAGTAAATCATTGGAGACTAGAGGACTAAGCTGAAAAAACTGTGATGTATTTTTCTCTTTTCCAGCCAGCCCTAGACCTATTACCTACAGTCCAAGTAAAAAAAAAGTAATAGTTGTCCAAGTTTATGTGATGAAAGTGAAAGCATATATTATATATACTGCATATGGGCACTGTTGTCTAAGCTGAGAGGACTTGATAGCTACTGTGCATGTGTATCTGATTAATCACCTATCTATGATAATGAATGATATTTATTATTAACTTGATTTTATTATCGACTTTATAATTATTATTAATCATCATAGATAGGTGATTAATCAGAGCCATAGTTGCAGGATGATGTGGCTAAGTCCCTCATAAATATTACTGTATCATCATCACAATACTGGGCTGCAATTTTTAATCATCTTTTAGTTTAAAAATCATGTGACTTCCAGTTCAGACTGGAAGTTTGTATATAATTAATTACTAATTAATTCAACTAAAAGTAATTGGTTAAGCTGCTATCTTGTATTTTTATAATTATTAAAATGAATACAATGTGACATAGTTCATATACAGTTAATTGGGGCCTCTTGTCCCTAAGATTTCCATATCTGGTCATGATTTTAATCAGTCTAACTCTATTTTTGAGATTAACAAAGGGCAGATGGACAGACAGATGACAGTAGGAATGTATAGGTCTGCAATCTGAAAATTGCAGTTCAAAAATAATGACTCCATACATAATTAATAATCAAATATATGGATAAATCAAAAGTAACTTTACAAAGTCAACAGAGATTTTTTTTGTGTAAATAAAAAATACAGGATTTATCTGTAAATAATATGCTATTTTTTAACAAAATTACTCAGCCTCTTTAAGCATTAATTGCAGCTTGCTTGTTCTCTCTGCTGCTACAGCCACCTATCAATAACAACTTTCACTTCTTCAGTAGCAAAATGGTAACAACATACATTCCTTCAAATGCAGAAAAATATGAAAGTCAGAACAAATCAAACTTTATGGAGAATAATGAGAAATATTGAAACATCTGCAGCAAATCCATAGTCAGTGTGTCATATGCATTTTCTTATCCTCTTGAAAATCACTGACACCATTCTGTGACATTTTCTTGAGACATAGCATTGTCCCCATACACTTCAATGAGCTGATGAATTTCCGCAGGTAAAACATTCCTAAGTCCACAAAAATTAAATGACTGTTTAAACTTCTTTGGAAGACTACTTTTCTAAAATCTTGTTTAGAAATCTAGTCACAATTGTCCTGCATTCACAAGTCAATTCTAACCATATAATGTTACTGATCTGCATCATCACTAACTACTTAGCTTGGGGTTGCACTCAACAGTGCTTTGGTTTTGAAATTGTGGATTTTGTAAAGTTACTTTTTGGTCACCCTTTTGGTCATTACTTTTTGCTTTTTTTTATGTAAAAAAAGCAGAAACATTATTGAGACATATTTTGTTTATGTAATGAATTTGGGTTAAAAAATTTAATAATGCAGTCAAGTTAGAAATTTAACACAAAATCAGGTGGAAAAAAAGGGTCGTTCAATAAATTAAAAATATGTTTCAATTCAATGCCACAATCATGTTTAAGATCAATAAAGTCAACAGAAACACATGCCACAAAGCTATTAAGAATTTGTATTTTGCCATACAGTATGAGCAAAACACAAATATATTCATTTTTCACTCAAATATTAACTAAATTATTATTTATGAACAAAAGTTTTTACATATTATTCAAATTTCAAAATCGCAGAACAGAGAATAGTTAATCAGAATATATATTATTTTATCATCTTCATTCATTTTATAGGTCTGTTCGTGTGAGGAACGCTATTGATGATATAGCTATCATGTGATCAACATATACATCTGTTATTATTTTATGAAATTATAGCTTATGTCAAACCTCAAACCTGAAATATCTTAAAATATTTTTCTCTAAAACAATAAAAATTATCTATAAAAAATTTATTGTTAATGTACAAGATTTTGCATAAGTTTGGTCCCATAGGAGTTATGAGATGTTTGTTCTTTTACAGGTTAAGCATGAAGCATGGCATTGAATAAGAAGGAACAAATTAAAGTTATTTTGATGGTATGAATCTGCAGTCAGTATGAAGTTGCCAAAATGTTTAACAGGCTGTATCCAGACTTCTTATCAATCACATACAGTGATCTGGATGTAGCCTTTTAATACTAGAATTATGAATGGAGCCAAATTGACCCTGGCTGCATATTATTTTTCTAGTAGTTCATTTACTGTATATTTGATTGGCTTGAAATTTTACAAGTTTTCATGAATTGGTGATTTTACCACATAGTAAAAAATGTAACCAAATAATTTTAAAGGAATCCAAGAAAATTGAATACATCTGTAATTATAGTCAAGGGTTGGTTTGACACTATGCATTATATAGTGCATGTATTTGTCAATTTTCATTGATAGCTGACAAGCTGCTTTCAAAGCTTTTTCTATAGTTACTGGAAACTATAGTATAGTCATAGGTTAAATGTTTGTTATGTGCAGGACAACACATGCACGGCTTTAAATTTAAACTTATAGTTCAAATGGGCATTCAAATTACATTTAAAAACTTTTATAAATTCATGTTTGTTCCAAACAACATTCCATTAGGTAACCATTGTTACACCCGAATAACTCAAAAGGAGTAAGAAAACATTTGTGCACAGATTTTTTTTTTTTGTTTTCTTTACACTGGTAATTGGTTCTGTGTTTATTACTGGGAATTGCTAAATAAAAAGGGAATATTCTAGCAGAAACTTTATTTGTTGATCAGCAAGCATTAAGAAAACATGCCTCTTCACTGGCGTAAAGATCTTAATCCAGAAGATTTTCAAGTATTTTCAAGATTTATCTGAAAATGAATTGGGGAAACAATACTGCTGGATTTGAAAGCAACAGAAACAAGTATTTTCCTGAGAAAGTCCTGAATCAGTGACTCAGAGCAAGTTGGAGATATGGAGGTACCACTTCAACTTTAAATTCCTGCTGCTGCTGACCTGGCTAAGAACCACTTTGCTGGCCCAAATGATAATCTTCAAGCATCATATATTTGCTTACTCGAAATTATTATTATTATTATGATTATTATTTATTATTGTGTGTATACTATCTAATGAGTTTGAAGTTCCAAAAATTCCAATCCTAATCAGAACAGTTTAAAACACTAATACAGTAGAAATCCTACAAACTCGACTTAATGTGGACTGAGAAGGTAAGGAGTTATTGAAAATGACAAGTTTTACAGCATAACAAAGATGCTAATCTAAATAGCGGAATTTTCATAAAGGTGTTATATGTGCAAATTCATATACATATTAACTATGTATCAATAGTAAATATTTCTATTTGTAGTTAAATTTTAATTTGAAAAAAACATTGGCTACTTCCAAGTTAGTGACATTTGTGTCATGGTGTTTTGCAGAGACACCTTGTAAAAGAGTTACATTTATTGTTATCATTTGAAATTGTTGATGTTATCAAGTGTTGCCAGTGAAGAATGATAATTCATTTGTTTATAATGTTAAGTTATAGCAGTAAAAATTAGATTACAAATTCTTATTTTTTTGAATGACACGACAAGTTTTATGGAAAGTCAAATTATCAATATTCAAGTTTCTGAGACTCTACTGTACATTCTTTAAATTAATTAAATGGAATTATTGTTATAAGGACAATTTAGTCAGTCTTTCTAAAGAATAAAATTATTTAATTTTAGCTTTAAATGTTTCAACTGATAACCAACAAATGCTGAAAGTTTATTAAACTATTAAACTTTTTTACTTACACAATTCCTGCCAGTGTTGATGCTCGAACGAGAACAAATATTAAAATAAAGACAGCAAATAATAAAGATACTAAAGAAACCTAAAATAAAAACTTATTAAGATCATTATAATCATTTCAAATATCCAGTAAATTTATATAATAAATACCTTTGAGAGACGACTGATATTTCGATATAAAGATAAAGGTAATGTTACACATACTGTAACAAAAAATACTACAAAATGACGATTTCCCAAAACTGTATTCCGAGATACTAAAAAAATAATAATCAATGATTATAATGCAAATTATTTTTTATATTAATTTTGTTATTTAAAGATTTTTTATTAACATGCACCTGCTAACTCAAAATTCACATGTGGACAAATTTTTCAATAAACAACAGTAATTTTACATATTTTTAAATAAAAAAATTATAATTAATAAGTAGTTATAATTATAACAAAATTATAATTAATGAGTGTTAAGATATCCAGAAAACTTTGAGATACCATGCATTATATTATCATAGTTGGTAAGTAATTATAATTTTAATAATTTATTAAATAATTTAGAATCATCTGGAAGAAAAGAACTGACCCAGGGTGGGGCTTGAACCTACAACTTCCACTTGCCATGCAGTGCACTTGTCATTTACACCACCCAGACCATAGGCATGGGAGTCCCCAGCCAACATCATGATTAATCACATAAGGTTGTATCTAAATTTAAATACATCTGGAAGCAAAGGCTTGCTCAGGGTCCAGGCGGCACAATTGGCAAGCATACTGCACAGCAAGTTGTGGGTTCAAGCCCCACCCTGGGTCAGTTCTTTTCTTCCAGATGATTCTAAATTATTTAATAAATTATTAAAATTATAATTATTAATTTAGTTAAGAGATGGCACCTAATGTCTACCTCTAGTAACAAATTATTTAGTATTAATCATTAAATTAGGGGAGTCATAACTCAATTATTTAAGGTGGTCATTTGGCTATGTTTCTATATACATATTGAGCTTTGCAATGTTTGATATACTTTTGTATAGTGCTGACCATAATAAATTACTGTACTGTGTATCCACCTTCTCATTTCCCATCAGAGAAGCACACTGTTAACTCAGACTTTCATAAATTTGGACAACCTTCCTCCTTATTAATCCAAGTTAGCAAGGATTTACTGTATTTTACGTTTTCTCTTTTGATTATACAAACTCATACAAAAATCTAATTACAAATAAGATATTTTAACTTATAAACTTACAAAAAAAAGACACTAATACAAAAACACTTTAAAGTCTTCTGCATGCCCCTAATAACCAAGTTAAACACCAAGTTAAAGAGATAAGAGAGCTGTCCGTTTGTGGTTACAGACTTTGCCCTATTTGGAAATGGAAAGAAGGAGAAAGCAAGAGGTCAAAGTGTGAAAAGAAAGGGTAATAGTAAAGTTTGAAAGGAAGGCATGGGAGGCCCCATGAGTGCCTGTATCACATTTATTGAAATAAAACCAGAAGATTACAATATGTTTACATAATATATTAAGTGGTTGTCATAGTATACAAACATGCCCCTAATAACCACTGGAACACAATCAACATTAGTATAGTTGATATTTTGATTCCACTATAGTCCATGCAGCAAAAGGGTAGACATGAATCAGCCTGAGCTGGAAAGGTCTATGTCAGATGAAAGAGATGGAAGAAATATATGTTATGCCTTGGGAGCTGAGACATAGATGCGATATCTTTCAACTGTTTTGTTTTTTATATTTCTAAAACGTTCTTATACAACCTTTATCATAAATAATTCTATTGTTTTACATTTTTTAAAATTTTATAACTTTTCCTTAATTCCAACTTTATACATTAATCATATGTCTCCTTCCATCCTTTTCATCTGATGTACTGTACACCCTTCCAGCTCAGACTGACTCATCTAATCTCTTGCTGTGCAGACTGTAGTGCTGACTGTGTTCTGACAGTTAGAAAAAGATGTGTAGAAAACTTCAACATGTTTTTGTATTAATCTTTTTTTTTTTTGCAATTTTACAATATATTTCTGTCCTGGATTTTAGAACTTTTATTTTTACAGATATTTTAAATTATTTAAATAATTTCTAAAAATATTCTAAATGAAATAAATGAATGTACAGTATATCTTTTTTCCTAAAAATTAATTCCTAAGTTAATTATGATAACAGAAAGATATAACATACCTCCAAAAATTCTCATTAGAACTTTAGTAATTGTATCTCCAATAATGATATTATAACTGATCATTGCTATAAAAATAAAAATTATTAAAATTATAATATAAAAGCAATTAAAATTAGTGTAATAGCTGACATATTTTGTATCAGATCATATATTACAGTAAATTTTCTAAAAAAATTTGACCACAAACTTTTGTAAATTTAGATGCAATTCTTTATTATAGAAAAAAAATTATAGCATTTATTCTAATAACAGCACATTACAACTTTTTTCACCTTGCAACTGCACTGTCTATAAGAGGGCTACTACTACTAACAGAACTTGGTTGAGAGCAAGTATTACTAGAATCTGGTAATTTTCACTTTTTTATTATTCAAACAATAATGCAATACTCAACATACACACACTTTATTTTAACATAAAATAAGAATGACAATATTTAATAGAATGTGCAATTTTCTGATTACAATAAGCCTTATCTTTCCCCAATAGATAGTTATAAATAACATGCTTACTTTTAGAAAGAACTTTTTTCATCTTATAGCTGCATTATTTATTAGAATAAATAATTCAGCTACAAGATGAAAAAAGTAATATAAATATGTATTATACTAACTTCAATGAAAGTTTTTGCATTGTTAATAAACATTGCTACAGTGATTGGAAATATGATTTCATTGGAATCATTTTCATAATTAATGCACTATAACAGTATATAAATTATATTCATATACTTAGATGGATAAAATTAAGAGCAAATAATATAATGTAAACAGATCTTACAAGTTTAGGAAAAGTACCACTGCCATTAAAACAAGCAAGAAAAGGTATTTCCTTCGGAATTAGCACAAGGTTGCTTGCTGTTGAGAATCATACAGGAACACTTTGAATGGAAAAAGCAGGTTTATTGACACAAAAGGATTTGCATTTCAGGCTTAATGCCCCTCTTCAGTCCTATTATATCAAATATATCAATGTAAAATTAATAGGGAATACCTCTAAAGTATGATATAATTCTGTAAAATGTTTGAAATGTTATTTGATTAAAAAGGTAGAAAAGTACAAAATATAAACCAATTATGACAGGCTAAAAAGTAAAGTGTGAGTATTCCCTGTATCATTATCAGAATGCCTCATGTGTTGTACAATACAGTGAAATACGATGGTGTGGGAGAGAGGGATGAAAGAAGTATATCTTAAAATGGACTCTTCTATTTAGTTAGTAATGGCTGCCAGATGTCATTGATGACAACTCCAGTGTTTAGATTCCTTCTGTGTATTTTGTTTACTTTTTTTAATAATTTCTGTGTTCAAAAAATTTTCTTTTAATAATACTTTTTTCCTTTTCTCGAACTGTACTTTCAAAAATAACTACACTTTGCCAACCTTTAACATGTAGTCTATTTTATTAAGAATTAGCAAAAATTGTGGGGAAATCTGCTGGTCTTGCAAGTAGCACTATGGGAGTGTTAATGATGCTGAGAGTCTTCCATTTCTTGACTGGAGGCAACACAAGCATAATAAATCATATTTACTTAACATCGACAATCCTATTTTTGTTTATTTCAATAATCTAACATCAGGATTGAACAACTTTTTATGACAAACGAAACAGATTATAGAATGTTTTTAACTTTAAAAGTTTTCTCAACGCCTATTGCACAAGTCCGAAAATAGATAAATAGAAACTACAGACTGAAAATGTACAAATATACGCATTATTTAATAAAACATTAATATTACTATTAATTTGTTTTTTGATTTTATTGTTTAGTGTGGGTGCTAAAATGATATTATATGGTGTTAGTATTCTTTGGATGTTTTCAAAAACAGTAGGGATATAATCTAATTTTCTATAAATTATTTGTGTCTTTGGTTTTGGTTGACATATCATGTGGTTGTGTAGCCATTTGTTGTAATTCTGTTTGGGTAGTTATTTAATTGAAAGGTGCAGTAAATATGTTCTATTGCTATGTTTTGATTTGTAGTATCACTTGTATGTGTTTTGATTTTATTGACATACATATTGAATATGTTCTTTTTAATATACATGGGTGTACTGGAGTAGAAGTTGACTACTTCACCAATGCCACAGGACCATATATATTTCTTAAAAGCAACAAAATTATCACTTCCCAGTAAGCAATGTCCAAAAAATTAAGTCTGCTATCATTTTCGCTCTCCATATCAAAGCATACATTGCCCTGGACACTGCTAACACACTGAAGTATAACCTGGAGATTGGATAAGTTCTTGTTATATACAACAAAGCAGTTGTCAACATAATGGTCAATAAACCTACTTTTTCCACTCAGTGTTACTGTATGATTTGTTCTCAACAGCAAACTTGTGCTAATTCTGAAGGAAATACAAGCAAGAAAATATTTATGAACTAGGACATCATGTGACTTTATCATATCGTGATAGAATTGAGATGGAGCTGAAAGAAAGGAGCAATCCCTGCACTTGTTAAGGCACAGAAGAGGTTAGCCATGAAAGACACAACCTTTGCACTGCCTGAGTACAGAGAGATGATCCTTGCACTTGCCAACATGAAGAGACAATCCAAGAACAAAGCAATCACCATCAATTGCTTTGTTCTTGTGTTTTGTTCATTTTTCATGCATATTTTTTGTCAGGCACATGTAATGCTGTTTTTATTTTTGACCTCTAGGCCTAAATTCCTTTAGGTGTACTCAGTCACATCAGAGAACATGAACATAGTCACTTTAATACCTCTGTATATTGAAAACAAAGTCATGAACTATTTTTTTACATTTAAATGGACCCTCATTATATTTTTGGATTCCTAATTGCAATTAATGGAAAATGGCAAAGTCAATTCTATAAGCTCATAGAAGGCATGCTAGCAACTGTGGAACATCATACAACAAAGTTGTGCAATATCACTTTGTCGCACACACTCATGCTACAACTTTATAGCTCAAAAACAAAGTCATCGTCACCCAAATTTTTATTACAGTTTTGGATTCCTCATTGCAATTAATGAAAAAGGGCAAAGTTTAATCAAAATAAATCAAACATATTTTGGAAACAAACATAATTCTGTAAAGCACATAGAAGAGGCTTTGCTAACATTCCACCTCAAATATACAAGGAAGTAAAAAAATAAACATGAATATGACTTGCCCAAATTTTAAAAAATCACTAATTACTTAGAGATATTCTATCTTTGATATTATTATTATTTGGGAGCATACTCCATCTCACACCCCTCAAAAAGATTCTGTTTTACAACATATAGGAGTTAATAATAAAACAAAAGCCTATAGCCATTCCATACTTAGATTATTTAAGTAAAGTTGTTATCATAAATAAGAAATATTTAATTTTTAATGTTAATTATTAATATCATTGGAATTTTCTTAATTATCATCATACNCTCTTTCTTTCGTTGCTCGAGCACTGCAGCCGCCGCGATATCGGAGGCGTCGGTATGTAAAAAAAATTGCTCATCAAAGTCAGGATGCACGAGAGTGGGAGGTTTAATTATCGCCTCCTTTAATTTCTCAAAACTCCGTTGACATTTCTCATCCCATGAAAACCTCCTTCCTCTTTTTGTAAGCTCGGTAAGAGGAGCTGCAATTTCAGAAAAGGATGGAACAAAACTCCGGAAGAAACCCACCATGCCAAGAAAGCTGCGAACACCCTTCGTGTTCTTTGGTGCATCCAAACGCTCGATAGATTCGACGTTACTGGGGTCGGGCCTTACCCCTTCGCTATTAACAATATGACCCAAGTATTTCACTTCACGTGCAAGTAATTGGCACTTATCCGGGTTCAGCTTTAGGCCCTCGGTTGTTAGGGTGCCAATCACACGGTCGAGCAATTCAAGATGATCTTCCAAGTTCCGTGAAAATATAACAATATCGTCTTGGAACACGAAACAGCTACTCCCCACAAACTTAGCCAGGACTTTAGTCATTACATATTGGAAAAATCTACCGCTATTCTTTCCCCCTTGANACCAAATAATTTTAAAGGAATCCAAGAAAATTGAATACATCTGTAATTATAGTCAAGGGTTGGTTTGACACTATGCATTATATAGTGCATGTATTTGTCAATTTTCATTGATGGCTGACAAGCTGCTTTCAAAGCTTTTTCTATAGTTACTGGAAACTATAGTATAGTCATAGGTTAAATGTTTGTTATGTGCAGGACAACACATGCACGGCTTTAAATTTAAACTTATAGTTCAAATGGGCATTCAAACTACATTTAAAAACTTTTGTAAATTCATGTTTGTTCCAAACAACATTCCATTAGGTAACCATTGTTACACCCGAATAACTCAAAAGGAGTAAGAAAACATTTGGGCACAGATTTTTTTTTTTTTTTTTGTTTTCTTTACACTGGTAATTGGTTCTGTGTTTATTACTGGGAATTGCTAAATAAAAAGGGAATATTCTAGCAGAAACTTTATTTGTTGATCAGCAAGCATTAAGAAAACATGCCTCTTCACTGGCATAAAGATCTTAATCCAGAAGATTCTTTGCGTATTTTCAAGATTTATCTGAAAATGAATTGGAGAAACAATACTGCTGGATTTGAAAGCAACAGAAACAAGTATTTTCCTGAGAAAGTCCTGAATCAGTGACTCAGAGCAAGTTGGAGATATGGAGGTACCACTTCAACTTTAAATTCCTGCTGCTGCTGACCTGGCTAAGAACCACTTTGCTGGCCCAAATGATAATCTTCAAGCATCATATATTTGCTTACTTGAAATTATTATTATTATTATTATTATTTATTATTGTGTGTATACTATCTAATAAGTTTGAAGTTCCAAAAATCCCAATCCTAATCAGAACAGTTTAAAACACTAATACAGTAGAAATCCTACAAACTCGACTTAATGTGGACTGAGAAGGTAAAGAGTTATTGAAAATGACAAGTTTTACAGCATAACAAAGATGATAATCTAAATAGCGGAATTTTCATAAAGGTGTTATATGTGCAAATTTATATACATATTAACTATGTATCAATAGTAAATATATCTCTTTGTAGTTAAATTTTAATTTAAAAAAAACATTGGCTACTT